TGGGACTTATTTGAATGGATTTGGCACACGATAATATGAAATGTCAAAATGTTTGTCCATATCATCACTTTGCTCTCCACATCATCAAAAAAAATATAAAAAATGCTACATAAACGAAGTTAACAACTCAAATTAACAAAAGGACTAACGGAGTGCATTTTTTGTAATTGAGGGATCAAAAAAGTGCAAAAAATTATTGAAGGATCAAAAATATGTATTTCTTAAAGTTGAAGGACCAAATTTAACATTTAACCTAGAGTATTTAAAATTGAGGGTGCTAATAATTGAATATATTCCATTAAAACAAAAATAAATGAATATAGAAAGTAATATTGACGCCATGGTGGATATCATTTTTTAAACTATTTTTTTATTTCTTTTTTATTTATTATTTTAAAAGTAGATGGAGTAATTGAGTAGGGGTATGGACTGGCACCAATTAAGCCATTCAACATATAATTGTCATATGCATGCCAATATTTTGTGTTCTCCTTATCAACATCTACTATGGCACTCCACAAGTTGAAGTATTTTGTTGGTAGAGGACCAACAAATCCATTATGAGAAAGGTCAACAATCCGTAGATCAGGAAATAAGAAATTCTGGAACATTAATTGCATCATAGAACTTGTTGAAATGCAAAATGAGAATCTTCAATCTAGGAAGAGCTCCCAACCAATAAGGGAAGGTATCTCTGATATGATTCTTACCAAGATCAAGAAACTCCAACATTCTACAATTTGCCAATGATCTTGGTACCTTTCCTTGCAGATTATTCTGTCCTAATTTAATCACTTGTAGATTGGTTCCAGCTACCGCAGGCAAGACGTTTTGTTTTTTTCAAGAAATAATTTGATCTAAACTACTAATCGAGAATAACACTGATTTATAAAACTCAAACAGCTTCCATGATGCATGTTGTAAACCTCTCACCTCAATTACTCATTCTCTGGTCCATGGACTTAATATATCTTACGGTGCTAAGGTTATAGCCAGCATTACAATGCTAGATAGATAAATTTGCTCCAAGCCAATTGAGGCATTTATTCATTCAAAATTGAATCAAGAAATAGGCAAACCATATTTACAAAACACAAGAAAAATTCCCTGGTTGTTTCCTATCAGCCATGCAAATAAGCAACTGAAATGCAACAAAAATATAAAAAGAAAATACAAACGCAAGAAAGGCATTCTGCTTACATCACCAACATTGAGATCCGGATTTCCAGGAGTGTTTCCATTTCTAGATGCATTTTTCTCATCACTAGGAATCCACTTGGAATTGCTATTCTGAGGCCCATCAGAACGATTGTTGGAGCTCTTAATGAACATTGCATCAGTAACTTGATCCCCTATGTCCATAGATTCATTGGTCATGCTGGCACTTTCTGAAATATTTTCCAGCTCTGCATTAGATGTCTGGTGCTTCTCAATTTCCAGTCTTAAAACACCTTTCACAGGTTTATGGACCTGGCATTTAAATGCTTTTAATTAGTGAAAAAGGTAATTATGTGCATTTCTATACTCAAAAAAGGATAAGTTCTCATAAAATATCTAGAGAACATTTCAGATTCTTCATTTCTTTGACCTCCCATTTTTCACATCATTTCTTTGGCAGAGTTGTTTTGGGTTTTTTATTAGCACCTCACTTACTTTCTTCAAAACTTTCTTATAAGCATTTCAAATGCTAAAAAGTAGGGTTTCCCTCCAATACTTCTTTAGACTTGTGAGAGAAAAAAGTGCTTATAAACAAGTTGAAGAATAAGCTCTGCTAAACAAACAGTCATTGAGGATCATTAGCTCCCTTGCACTTATCAGTCAAATGCATGCACATTTGCTAAAGCCAAGGTATAATACAATAATATTTTCAAATACTTCACAAATGACCCCCTCCATGCCTCTTATCTGCGAAGATATCTTAACCAAAAAGGCAGATAAGAAATGTTATAAAATTGTATCGTTTGATGAGTATTCCATAAGTTGATCAGTACAACCTCCAGTTGAAA